TATCTAATTGTTTGTTGCTGTTATTGGTAATGCTCAGTGCAGTGCCTGGCATGCAAATAGCACCCAGCGTTTATTGGTTGATGAATAAAGGCAGATGTAACCTTCTAAATATTTTATTGGGGCAAACCAATATATTTGTATGGGATGATTTTTAAGCAGCACTCGCCAACCTTTCAGACCTTACGGGCCACCAGTGGTCCACGGACCACCGTTTGGCAAGTTATCTCAAGTAGCTCCCCTTCAGTTTTTAAAATTATTGAATTTATTGGGGCAACATTGGTTAATAAAATTATGTAGGTTTCAAGTGTACTGTTATATAACACATCATCTGTATATTGTATTGTGTTCACCACCCAAAATCAAGTCTCCTTCCCTCACCATTTATCCCCTTTACCCGCTTCTGCCTGTCCCTACCCTCCTTTCCCTCTGGTAATCCCCACACTGTGTTTATGACTTTTTGTTTTTTGGTTTTTTTTGCTTAATCCCTTCACCTTTTCACCCAGCCCTGCAGCCCCCCTCCCCTCTGATACCCTTCAGTTCTTGACATGCACTCTTAAAGCTCATACACCTATCCCAACCCACTATTTATAGCTTCCCAGTCATCCAACAAAGTAAAAAAAAAATCACTTGGCAAAAAAGGGAGACAGGGGTAAGGGAGAAAGACATTTTAATATCACTTACATTTTTATTGAATTTCCCCTTCTCTCACTTTGTCAGATTATGAGCATTGCAGCAACAGAGAGGGGTTATCACAGCACCTCTTGCAAATTCCAGGTCACAGGCAAATTGGTCAATGGAAAAATATGGGCCAACAAAGTAAGATCTCAGCTCCCCATAAGCTATTTGTCTATTCTTATTTTCTCTTTCCCCTTCTCTTAATGTTAGCTACTTTTATACAGAGAGGGATCATTGAGGCTGTGAGCATGAACTCACCAGTATCCTGTGAAGAACCATCAAGAATGACTTTTGTCATTCCAATCATTGGTTTATCATCACAGAAGTAAGACCTATTTAGGGTGCCGACAAGTTACCATTCCACCTTAGTCTGTGACATGTCCCACACTCCCTGGGAACCAAGGGACCAAGCTTTTGCACAAGAAGCTTGGGAGTTGTGTTGGAAAAGCAGACTGTGACTTGGCTCAAGGCTCCACATACATGGAGGGATCCACTTATCCATGCAGATGGCAGCAAGACAGGACACTTAGCCCATCAAGGTACTGCTAACCTCCCCACCACTGCTCCACAAGAACAGAGCTTTGGGTATTGCTTCATTAAAAACACAGTAACTGCAGTTTAAGAGCCACTGCATCCTCAGGGTCAGTTTATTATGTCTCATCATACCACAAAGAATCACAGTTTAAGGCCATTTTTTCATGTGTACTATGCAGTAAGCAAGATCTTGCCCACAGCTCCCCAACCAAGCCACTCCCAAGGGTGTACTGGGAATGTGATACCTGCAGACTCACCACAGAAGACTTGAATAAACATTTTCAATAGGGGTTCCAGCTAATCCCTTTGGTTTCCTCCCTAGAAAAGACTCACTCCATAGCAAAAGATGCTTGGAATACAGGTCACTGGAAACGACAAAAGAGGCAACAGCATTTTCCATACAATTAAAAGCAAATGGATAACTGGCTAGTCCTAGCATTTCTTCAGTATGATAAGCAGGAAGCCAGCCTTCTAATTTGGCTATCTGGGCACATAGCAATTGGCTAGGAGCTTGGACACTAAATTTCATGAGGATAAAGCTGAGGAGAGAATGGACATGCATTCCTCTTCTACATGAAGGTGTTTTGATTAACTGGCTTAATGGATTAAGATGCCTGCTGGGCACTGAGTTCCCATGATAAACTGAGCCTCCATGATAAATAGGTAGCAGCACATCTATAGGTTCTGGGACTGCAGTTAAGTGAACAGCTGTTCAACAGCTATAAGAATCTTTTGACTTTTATAACCTTCACAATCCCTTTGGGCTATGCTGATTTTACCTGTGTGAAATGCTCCAGTTCTGGATCTTCATGAAGGTAGACAGAAGGAAAACCACTCACTCTCCCCACTGCCTAACCACACGGGTTTCAGCAAGTAGAGATTAGAATCCATTTTGGCTTACCTAGAACACCAGGAGACACCCTGGGAGTTAGGACACAGCAATTCTTTGCACAAGAGAACCAGGAGACAGGTTCTGTCACATCCCTATGAAGTCTAATTAAACAAGAATCCCCCCAAATCTTTTTCTTCACTGCCTGTGGAATTCTAAAAATCAAGAACAGAAAGAAAGAAAAGCCAAATACAGGAGGGAGGGGAGTACAGAGGTAAATCATGGGAAGAATATCCAATTCCGTGGCCTCTGAAAGGGCATTAGGCACACACAGTCCTCAGGAGTTATGTAGGATATTCTGTCCACCTTACGTGACTACATGAGGAAGAAGCGTGTTTTGACCATCTGAAATCCTCAGCCTATCATCAAAGTTTAAGATAGAGACTTTGGGGTTCTGGAGACTAGGATGTTTTAAATAGAGAAGAAATTTTCCAAAGCAAAGCAAGAAGTTGAAAAAGTGCTTCAAAGCCCCTGAGCATTTCCCATAGTTCCTTGCTTTAGAATGTACATCACATTCTAGGGCAAAGGTGGAAGGATGATCTGCTATCTGCTCCATTTTTTGTGTGTGATTTTGATGTCCCCTCATTATAGATTTCCTGGGTTTTGATGTAATCTGCAGAAAAGTCTCCTAAACCGGGAATGGGTCAAGAATGCTAAAGAGAGAGATGGGGAAATGTGATAAGGCTGAGTCACACCTGCATTGACTGACTCAGATGATCAGCTTTGGTAGTCACGGTTAGCTGATGCCTGTTTGAATCCCATCAGATTCTCGAATCCGGCTGTGTTAAACCATGTACTAAACAATACTGACAAGTCCCAGATTTCGACTTGTTCTCAAGGACTGTATTTATATACACTTGTATTCCCCCAAGGGCTTGGTTAAAGAATGATACTTGTTATATGACTGGATCCTAGATTTATATTACAGTTTCAAGCAGAGACAACCAGCATGTATAATGTTTTGTCCTCTAGACAGCAGAGGTCCTGGAGCGATCATAGGACTTTTGTTTCTTCAAAATAAACTTATAATTTAACTACTTTTATACTGAAATAATTTTATGCCAGCAAAGTGATATATAACTTTTTAAATGCCCATACCGATATTTTATATTGCACTGACTTCATGCAAACCAAAATAAAGACTAGCAAGTAACTTCATTGCGTAAAGTTTGTGACTTTTGCAAACCCTACACCACTACATAGTAACTGCAGTGCAAAAGCCGTCTGGTACTCTATGGAGTCCTAGGGTGAGACACTAGATGTACAGGAAAGGGTAGCAATGCACTTTATTTTACAGGACGAGTTACTTGGTCACCACAATTTCTTACTGCAGCTTGTACATGCTAAGTATAGTCCCCGCATATCCACATGGTTCCTTTATTCACCCCTTGCTATTCTTTAAAAAAGTAAAATGAAACCTTGGAACATTTCAAGGGCTTAAGGCTCTCAGATGCTGAGAGTGATCAAAGACAAGTTGAGACACGAAAACAAAACTTCACAAACAATAATAGTGCATTCATCCTCCACTACACGTATTAGCACAAACATACCACAGCTGATGATAAGATGCCCAAGAGAATCTGGACTGAGAATTCTTACCAATAAAAGGAGTGGTTTCACAATTAGAGATGTGCAAGAACACTTTCACAGGATTCTTTTCCATTGGGTTCTCAACCTTTCCCTATCATACCTGATGGCTACTAAAAGACAAGCTGATCTTGGGCAGAATAAAGTCTAAAGTTCTTTTCACTGAAGCTTTGATTAACATAAAAAAATAAAAATAAAAGCACTTTAACATGGTGATTTTCAGATGTGTTCTTTGGTCAAGCAGGATAAAGCTCTCTGAAAGAAGTCCCCTTACCTGATATGAAAACAGAGTTAGTAGAGAGGGTGCCAGTTTGGCCAACAGATATGTGTTCAGAATTTCTTTAAAAGAAGGGAAGGTAATGGAAGGCAAGGAGACTAAACCCCTGATGTCAGGTTAGAATTGTCTTAGGACATCAAGAATAAAGAGAACCAGCACTCAGAAGAGTGATATTTAAATGGGCCAACTTCTAAAAAGGGCAAGTTAGTAACTTTAATCCCTCTAGGAACATGACACATGATTTCTGAGCAGAGGATTTACCAACATTTCCCTTTATCAGTTTAAATCCTAATCTGGACCTAGACCCAGGCAGAGGCCATCACAATTTTGAAAAGCAGATAGCATTAAGGAGCAAACCACAGACAGTCTGGTTCTGCAAGTGGTAATCAATTCTTCCAGCTGCCCCTGCCCCTCACCCAGCAGGACTGCACATCATTTCACGGAGCAGCTTTGAACATAGAATCGTGAAGTGTGAGTCAGCTTCACCACGGAGGTCTGATCAGGGTGGGGTGCGGGTGCCTTTAAAACAATTTAAGTGTTCTACGTAGGGGGTGGGGGCATTACGTTACAGCTTGGGAGAATCCAGAAATTGGACATACCCTCAGACAGTGACCATCATGAAGAAATATTTGATGGTGAATGAAGAAATCTTTGTTCCATTCCAGTAAATGGAACAAGACCACGACTTGGGAGGCTCTAGACCAGGGGGAGTTACACAACGAGGGAGAATATCAACAGTGTTAACGTTTTCTGTTTTTCTTAAAAGGCTAAACTTAAGACTAAAAGCAGAACACTTTGGTTGATTACTTGACTGGTTAAATAAGGATTCCCAGGTTGGCAACCTCCGGGATCTGGAGTGGAAGTAAGTGGAAGGCACTTGCTCCCGAGGGAGGGGGGGCTAGGTGAGTCTTGAGGCTGTGATGCCGGCTGGCAGCTTTGGATGGGCCCAAGGCTGCAAGGCGGCTGGGGAAGGGCAACAGCCTGCATGGTTAGCAGAGGCAGGCTAGGGTCAGTGTGATTTCACAAATAGGATAGTTATAAAATAAAACATATTTTAATGGACAAAAAAGCAAAGTGAATCACCTTTTTTAAAAGGTGAAATGCAGCAAAGGAAGACGTGGAGCAGTTTTTCCTATTTACAAAATGCCATTTGGAGTGGAGGTGGCCACCGTCAGTAGTTGAGAAAATGTCTTTCACGTGAGGCGGCCACAGAAGTGTGGTTCCTGGAACTGGCTCAGAAAGGCCACACACTGTCCTGGGTGAGGGAGAGTTTCCGTAAGGGAGCACCAAAAAGGCTCAGTCTTCTGTTTCTTCATATGTGGTCTCATCAAAGGGCCTGTCCAGCAGCGGCACCAACCGGTGACGGGAATACTTCAGCTGTAGTAAGTCCCCAACTTCATCTATCTCCTTGAGAGCCTGAAACGTAAGACAGAGCAGAGGTGGTCAGAGCCAGGGGCTGCAGGCGTGGCTGGTGCTTCCCATCCTCTGGTGGGACTGTTTGCATCCAGTGTGCTTACTCCGGCCGGACCACAGTGCAGCTATGCAAAAAGCTGCTTTCTGAGCAAGAACGTGGGGCTGACCATGAATAATGGGTTGTGAATAGCAGGTATTCAGGATAAAGGGTATAATTCACCACAGTATGTTAAGCTTGGCAGGAAAAGGAACATGTGCCCTGGACTTGCCAGGCCGGCCACAATGTATTCTCTCTCCTTTTATACTTCAGTGCTTACTCTTTCCAGTATCATGCTCCAGAAAACTGACGAGAAGTCTGCGCTGAGTACCTCCCAGATGCAAGATGGATAAAGTCCCCAAGGGGGACTGCTGCCCTGACTCAGGAAGAACAAGTGGAAATGTGAGGAGGAGACTGTGTGGGTGAGGAACAGGCTACAGGTAAGGGAGGAGCAGGGAAAGGACAGAGCTCGATTTGAGCTCCAGAACCCCAATCTTGGGAGATTATCTCATCTTCCCATCAAAACTCTGCTCAGTATAATGTTCTTTCCTGTAAAATTAGCCCTTTATTTTTCAAAGAAAATAGGCTTCATATAAAACAATTCAAACAGTAAGGCAAGCTATAAAAGGCAAAGTCTTCCTGATTGCTACACTAGTCTACCTGGTAGCAGCAATCCATGTATGGTCTCTTATGTGTATTGAAGAAAAAAGCTCTTGAAATATGACATACATACAGCAACATATGAATCAGAGTTCACAGAGTTAACCTTTCCAAAAAGCACCACACACAGTCAAAATAGAGGATTCCAATATAAGAAAGGGATGTGTTCAGAATTTCTCAGAGAAAATTTTACTGCAAGGATAGAGAAACTCTATGCCCCAGAGATATCTCAGAGAAATTCAAGGAAGACAGGAAAATGTTTCAAATCCTAGATGCTAAGACTTTCTAATAAAAGAACCTGGCATAGGTCAAAGAATGCAATTTTCAATTCATGGTAGCTCTGCAGCCCTGTTACTCACTCCCCAGACCCGTGGACGTTACCTAGTGGGTCTAATAACAAGCCTGGGGTGAATGTGCTTGGCTTCGGAGATGATGGCTCTATGACACCATCTCATAAGAAACAGTAAGGTGGGCAGAAGCCCTGTAACTCTTTGCATTCCATCAAGCCATCTACATCATCTGTCCACTTATGGTTATAACATGTAAAAATGTACACCTTCTACTTCAGAAGAGGGAATCAGTTCGCTATTAGTAAAAAGTCACATTTACCTATTCTTAAGTTTAACTTTTAAAAATCAGTGTTTGTAGAGAGGAAAAGCCCACTAATAGTATTCCTTATTTATTCCAGCATAAGATAAAACATTCTTCACTCCAAATGTGAAAAGATATAAAAAGCAAGTAAGAGCCGAATTTCAATATGTTATCAGAACAGTGGTACCTTTAAGAAGAGGCTTAATTGAAAGCTTCATATGGAAACAATTTAAGGTTGAATTTTAGCTGTGAGAACCCATTAGCCCTTTATGCTCCTGACCTCTGATATAGAATTTGTTAATTTAAAACAACACATGACTTACTAAGATCACAGAGTAAAGGACATTTATGAACTCAAAATTAAGAAGAACTTAATATTTTGTCATCAATTTAAAAAAGAAAATGAATAGAGACAGGAATAAACCCACAGTAGCCCAAAGGGATCTAGATAACAAAATTCCTTCTGATCCCAAACCAAATATTTCAGATGAGTAAGTTTTATTTACATAAAAGGTAAAATTGTAACTAGAAACTGCCGGCTTTTATGTGGGGTTACCTGGTTAGATTAGAAATAAGGAACCATTACAAGGACCACCATTTGTTAACAAATAGTCTACACCAGACCTCTGGATCACAGGGTAAGATGGGTTCTTAGTTAAAAAAGTGTTAACTAAGGCTTGAGTGTGGTCCTTTAATAAGAGTATTTTAGAACAGCTGGGCTCCTGAACCAATAGCACTGCCCTTATTTTTAAAAATAACACTTTAATGAGATACAATTCACATGCCACAAATTCACCTTTTGAAAGTGTACAAGTCAATGCTTTTAATATATTCAGAGCTGTACAACTTTCATTACTAATTATAAAGCACATCACCTCAAAAAAGAAACCTCATACTCCTATCAATCAATCCTCATTCCTCCCTCACCACTAGCCCTGATAACTACCAGATTTTCTTTTCTTTTCTATTTTTAAAGAGTAATTTAAAAAAATCCTCAATGGGTGTATTGATTTTAGAGAGAGGAAAGGGAGAGAGAAAGAGAAAGAAAGAGAGAGAGAAACACTGTTTGGTTGCCTCCCATACATATCCTGATCAGGAATTGAACCTGCAACCTAGGTATGTACCCTGACCAGGAATTGAATCTGCAACTTTTTTGGGGGGGGAGGTGTACGGGATGACGCTCAAAACTGAGTCACCTAGCCAGGAGCACCAATCTATTTTCTGACCCTATGAATTTTTTTTTAAAAAAATATATTTTTATTCATTTCAGAGAGGAAGGGAGAGATAGAAACATCAATGATAAGAGAGAATCATGGACTGACTGACTCCTGCACGCCCCCCACCAGGAACTGAGCCCACAACCCGGGCATGTGCCCCTGACTGGAATCGAACCTGGGACCCTTCAGTCCGCAGGCCGATGCTCTATCCCAGCTGTGAGCAAACTATGGCCTGTGGACCGGATCCGGCCCGTTTGAAATGAATAAAACTAAAAAAAAAAAAAAAAAGACCGAACCCTTTTATGTAATGATGTTTACTTTGAATTTATCTTAGTTCACACAAACACTCCATCCATGCTTTTGTTCTGGCCCTCCGGTCCAGTTTAAGAACCCATTGTGGCCCTCGAGTCAAAAAGTTTGCCCACCCCTGCTCTAACCCCTGAGCCAAACCAGCTAGGGCTGACCCTAGGAATTTGCCTTTACAGGATGTTTTGTGTAAATGTGGTCTGTTGTGTCTGGCTTCTTTCACTTAACAAAATGCTTTCTAAGATCACCCATGCTGTGGGGGACCAACTTTATCATGTGGTTATCCAATTGCCTGGCACCATCTGTTGAAGAGACTAGTCTTTCCCCATTGACTAGCTTTGGTTCCCTTGTTGAACATTAATTAGCCAGATGCTTGGGTTTATTCCTCTCAGTGCTATTCCATTGGTCTATAAGAACATCTGTATACTAGAATCCCACTGTTTTGACTTACTATAGCTTTGTAGTAAGTTTTGAAATCAGGAAGTTTGAGTCCTCCAACTTCAATTTTCTTTTTTAATACTATTTTGGCTATCTGGGGACCCTATAGTTCCATATGAATTTGAGGCTTTAAACTTTCTGCAAAAAAAGCCATTGGGATTTTGATAGGGATTGCACAATGGATTTATGGATCTTGCTGTACTGCCTACCATCTTAACAATATTAAATCTTCCAATCCGCAAACTCAGGATGTCTTTCCATTTACTTAAATCTTCTTTCAGCAATGTTTGAATGCTATCATAAATGTGCCTGGTACTGTGTTAGGTCTTGGGATAGAGAATGGGCAAAACAGACTTGGCTCCTACCCTCAAGATTTATCTAATGGAGAGTATTTCCATAAACAATGAAAGGTGTGAATAATTCCCTAAGGAGAAATCTTTTCTTTTTAAAATATATTTCTTTATTGATTTCAAAGAGGAAGGGAGAAGGAGAGAGAGATAGAAGCATCAATGATGAGAGAGAATCATTGATTGGCTGCCTCTTGCACACCCCCTACTGGGAATTGAGCCCGCAACCCGGGCATGTGCCCTTTGCCAGAATCGAACCCGGGGCCCTTCAGTCCGCAGGCTGATGCTCTAGCCACTGAGCCAAACTGGCTAGGGCACTAAGGAGAAATATTAAGATTCCAAGGAAACATCAAGCAAGAGGGTTTGGGAATAGCCTTGGGCCAGTTTCCTTTAAGTGGAGATATGACGAATGAGTAGGAATTAGCAAGGAAAAGATAAGAGAAGGCTCAAGAAAGAAAATCCTACAGACAAAAAAAACAAACAAGATCGTTTAGAGTAGAAACAAAGAGTAGAAAGAGAACTGTATAGTTAGTTGTAGAGGCCATAAAGAGGGAGGGCATGGAACAAGATGAAGCCAAAAAATTCCCCAAAGTCCCCATGATCACACAGGGTCTGGTGGGTGATGCTAATGGTTTTTCTTTGTTCTTTTTTGGTAAACAGCAATGTTTTAAGTAGCACTGTATATTCCCTCCTCTATTTTACTGGTAAATATCTTAGGTGCTCAAAGAACGTCACAATCAACAAATAATTTCATCTGATAATCAGGCCCTCTTAGTATAAGGTATTTTATACCAAGGTTAAAGTGTCTACTTACAGTATCGAGAATTTCTTTGGTATGAGCTGCTGACAGGCAAAACCTGGCTCTGGACTCAATAATTGGGGTGGCAGGAAATCCCACCACAACTACTCCGATGTTCCGCTTCAGCATCTCCCGTCCAAAGGCGCTGCGAAGGGAAAGCAAGGAAAAGAAACCAGGAAGAGTCATAAAGCATACAGTACAGAGGTCCTGCAGGGCTGAATGAGCTAAACTCTTGAGTGAGAGGCGCTGCAGACTTCTAGGAGGAATTTCCTCTTCAAGTTAACATGGACAGTTCACAAAGACGTTTTTTACTCATTCCAAAAGTGGATGCCTCCCAAATGGTTTTCTTCACAAAGGTGAAGAAGACAGTTGGCAGAGACCAATTTTTAATAGGGCTTGCCTAAAGTAATTTGCAATTTTGGCCTTAAAGTGTGGTCAGCTTCACTAGGGCAAAATAGACACAGTCCTCTCTAAAGAAAGGGTTCTAGATTCAGTCAGTCCTCCAGACTGAATAACTCTTCCAGTTTATTCATGATAATTCCATTTCAAGAATGAGGAAAATTCTACACCTCTGCCTGGCTCATTTCCACCATTGCTTCTGAAGGCCATAAGGCCAACTGCCCATATGACTTCTTGTTGAAAACTGAACTCTTTTTGCCTCAGTGAGCACCCCTGCCCAATTTCCCCCTCATTATTATCGTAGGAATCACCATGTTTCTGGGTTCCCTGATTGAATTTTCCCTCCTATTCATTTTCATAAACATTACTGAGTGGCCTCTGAATGCCAGGGCCTGCGGTGGGTAACGGGATTCAAAGATGAATAAAATATTTGCTCCTTTCATGACTTCAATTAAACTTTATCCAATTTTATATCTAAGAACCAGTCAAAACTCACAAATCTGAATTATTTTCCATCTCTGGAACAATTTTGCATGTAATTATTTTGCAAATAATTGTATTGGTTCATTTCATATTTGCTTTTCAAATGTCTTCTGGTTTTGTTATACACTGGAAGCCATTCTAGGACAAGGCTTCCTATTATACACACCCTGAACAAGCCAAAGAAGCTGGTGCAATCTGCACTTCTGATAATTATGCAAGCACACGCCCTGACTGCATGGCTCACACCACTCGCCCTCATGGGCACTGCACTTCAGCTCCACTCACCTCCTTGCTATTCTTCCCTTGGCTAAGCATGTTCCTGCCTTATGGCCTTTGCACAAAAACTTCTTTCTCCAGGTGGGTAACTCTCTCTGTCCTTTAAGCTCAGGTGTCATGTTCCCTTCCCACTGAGGCACACCCTGACCACTCCATTTAATGCTGTAAACTGCCCGCCAAAGGGCACGCTCAATGACCCACATCTGCTCTGTATTTCCCATAGCTCTAAACATCTTCTCACATGTCATAATTTACTTATCTATTATGTTTGTCTGTCGCCCCACTAGAACGTAAGCTCCACGGGAGAGGGTTTTTACTTTTGTGTATTGTTTGCTGATCTATCTCAATCCCCCAGAAGAGTGCATTAAACTCAAATGTATGTTTAATGAAAGACTAACAAGTTAACATATTTTACAAGTTGGAATCCACTAGTCAATGGCATATCTAGCGAATACATGTTAACATGAAAAGGCCAAAATACCTAATTCTGAGTCTCACATCACGGAAACCTTAAGCCTAGAGAGACCAGTTTGTATTATGCAATAAAACGTACCCGATTTTGGCTGGCATGTAGAGCATCAAAGGCACCACTGGAGAATCTTCATTTCCATAGATGATGAAGCCCATCTCTTTCAGGCGTCTCCTGAAATACCTAGTATTTTCAGCTAACTGCTGTACACACTCTTTGCCTGGAAAATCATGGGAAAACAATAAAATAATATTAAGAAGAAAAAAAAGAGAGCAATCGCCTCTATCTCCATTCTGTCAATCAGTCCTATCATTTATTTCTTCCTTTCCAACATAAAATATTTTTGCACAGCAAGCTGTATGAAATATATCTTGCTTTGTATTTTGTCAGACTAGGTGTTGACAACAGATTTTATAGTAATGTACAAAATAAGTTTAACAGCTAATTTTTCCATTGCACATTAGCATCCTCAAACATTGTCATCTCATTTAACATCCTACCATCCTTTTGCAGTAGGTAGGATATTTATTTTCATCTTCATTTTATAGATCAGGAGACTCTCACAAAGGCGGTGATTGGCTGGTAAGTCACATGGTAATAAGTGGCACAGCTGAGACTAGAATCTAGGTCTCTCACCTTTAATATTCATTCCACCTAACGGTGCTGTGAATAATTTTTACATATAAGACCAGAGTCATGTAGAGACCCAAATTTTCCTCTTAAGAGTCTGATTTTATGTTACCGTTTCCCCAAAACTCCTACCAGACAGCAACAGCATATCCATAATAATGTAAAATCATTATTTTTAATCCCACATTGTCCATCTTCCCTATAACACCAATGGATTGAAACATACATTTCTCTAACTGCTAAGTGACTAAAGGTTTGGCCTGTTTTTGACATCATGGTAGGTCAATCTATGAATAGATGTCCCAACAACTGTTCTGTAATAGAGAGCAAACCATGAATTCAAACGATGATCTTAATTACGAATATGCCCAAGTAAAGAAAAGGTTTGCAGAGGGGGCTGGGGGAGGTCGGAGAGGGTGAAGGAGGATAAATGGCGATGCTTTAAGGAGACTTGACTTGGAGTGGTAAACAGAGGATGTATTATAGAATTGTACACCTGAAACCTATATAATTTTATTAACCAACTAGAGGCCTGATGCACGAAAATTCGTGCAAGAGTAGGCCTTCTTTCCCCCGCGACTGCCGGCACAGGCTTCCCTCTGGCACCCAGGACCCAGGCTTTCCTCTGGCCCTGGCTTTGTCCAGAAGGATGTTCGGAATGACGCCCAGAAGGGCTTCTGGTCTAATTAGCATATTACCCTTTTATTATTATAGATGTCATCCCAATAAATCCAATAAGAAAAAAAAGGTTTGCAGTCATTTTCTCACATATATTAGAAAGCCAGAAAATAAATATTGAAAAAAACAAACATTATACTGTTCAAAAGATAAATTAATCAACCAGAAATACAAATGGTGAATATATTTCCTTAAAATTAGAATACTACTATATCCATCATTGATGGGAAGCTACTTTAGATATGTTTGCTACAAATAACCCCAAATTGCCCTAGCCAGTTTGGCTCAGGTGGATAGAGTGTCAGCCTATGGACCAAAGGGTCCTGGGTTCGATTCCAGCCAAGGGCATGTACCTTGGTTGCAGGCTTCTCCCTGGCACAGGGCCTGGTCGGGGCTCATGCAGGAGGCAACCAATTGATGTGTCTCTCTCACATCGGTGTTCCTCTCTGTCTTTCCTTCTCTCTCTCCTATCTACTCTTCCTAAAAATCAGTGGAAAAATATCCTTGGGTGAGGATTAACAAATAACCCGAATTTAATACTCTCTATGTAAATAATTTCAAGTTGACCAAAAAATAACACTCAAACATAGATTAGCTTAGTATGAACTCTAATGAACATCGCTAAAATTATGACATAACTCTTACAAATAATAAAGCAGACATTAAAGTGTGTTATATTTAAGTATGTTAAGGAATGATGAGCCATGTGCTCTAGAAATAGCAATATATGCTTACTCTTACTCAAAAGAAGAGAATTCCACTCTGGCCATGATAGCATAACAGTGACCAGATTATCTTCCTGCTATAAACAATAGAAAACTGGATGAAGAATATAAAACAATGGCTTCCAGGTACTGGGCCACAGGCAGTGCAGGACTGAGAAGGTTAACAGGAGGTGAGCCTTTGGATTGTCCCTGTGCTACCAGAGTAGGTCCTAATCTGCTGCATAGGGTGGGGAACCTAGTCTTGTCAGTTGAGGACACCAGAGATAGGAGCTGGAGAGGCTAAGGAGGCTAGAATTTATTGGGCAGTATATAGGAGAGGATGAGGGGATCTATGGAAGGGCCCCTTGAGCCTCTGGCAGAGTGCTGACCTGCATAAGTATGAGAAGAAACCATCAGGTGCCGGGGAAGGATACACCAGAATGCAGCTAACTGAGTTGGCAATAGTTTTTATTTTCACCCACCCACATGGAAAGACCTCAGAAGGGTATCACAATAGTAATGGAGTTAAATTAGCCTGAGACTAAAAATTGTGCTTGACACACTCTAACAAACCTTAAAAGCGAGTCTCAAAAGGATCCAACTGATTTCAAGAACAAAGTCCAAAATTATCAAAAGGAATGCAACACCCAATAATGGAAATATATCTGACATATAATAAAAACAATCCACACATTCATAGAAATAGGAAAATATTACCCACTACTAGGAGAAAATTCAATCAACAGAAATAACAGAGTAATGCTATTAAAAATATGCTCCTAGCCTGGTCAGTGTGGCTCATTGGTTGAGCGTCCACTCATGAACCAGGAAGTCCTGAGTTCGATTCCTAGTCAGGGCACATGCCTGGGTTGCGGGTTCAATCCCCAGTAGGGGGTGTGAAGGAGGCAGCTGATCAATGATTCTCTTTTATCACTGATGTTTCCATTCCTCTCTCCCCTCTCCCTTCCTCTCTCTGAAATAAAAATACATTTAAAAAAATGCTTCTACATTCAGAAAGGTAGAGGAAAGATGATAAGAAGATAAAGAAAACATATAAAAAGAAATAACTGCTACAACAATGCTGATGAATCTCATAAGCATTATGTTAAATAAGCCAGGCACAAGACTATATACACTGTGTGAATTCATTTATAGAAAAATTTAAAGAGACAATTATAGTGACAGGAAACAGATCTGTGGTTGCCAAGGAATGGAGGAAGGATTGGCAGCAAAGGGGTATGAGGAAACTTTTGGGGTGACAAAAATACTCTATACCTTCATTGTAGTATGGTTACATGATTATACATCTGTCAAAACTCATGGAATTATACACTTAAAATTGGTGAATTTCATTGTATGTAAATGATATCTCATTAAAGATGGTTTCTAAAAACTTGAGTGAATATTTGCATAATAGTGTACATTAATTTTTCTCATGCTCACGTTATCATTTTGCAACTTGCTGTTTTCCTATCATGCACCAAAAACCTTATTTAAAAATCCCAATAAATATATTCCAAGAACATCAAGAAAAATTATCAATAAAGAAATGTTAAAAGATTTAGACCTTAACTTTTCCACTAATTGCTATATCATTTTAAATGTGTTTTTTTTTAAATGAAAGAAATGGAAATCTCACTCTCACCATTCATCATCTGTTCCCTGACATAAGAGTTCCAAAAGAAAATACATCTAAATTAACACATGCATATACAACCCGAAGATACTAGGAAGAGGCATTTAATAATTTTTTAAAATATATTTTATTGATTTTTTACAGAGAGGAAGGGAGAGAGAGAGTCAGAAACATCGATGAGAGAGAAACATCGATCAGCCGCCTCCTGCACACCCCCCACAGGGGATGCGCCCGCAACCCAGATACATGCCCTTGACCAGAATGGAACCCGGGACCCCCCAGTCCGCAGGCCGATGCTCTATCCACTGCCAAGATACGACAGAAGAGGCATTTAAAATCCCCAACTTATATATCCTTAATATTGGTGAACAGTATTCCTTTGTGAAAGTATACCAGAATTTATTTATCCTTCATATGTTAATAAATATCAGACTTGAGATTATAAACCTACATTCTGGCAGCTATAAATTCAGATAAAAAACAATTCTCTACTTGTAAGAACACTAATTCAAAAAGATGTATGTTCCCCTATGTTCACTGCAGCATTATTTACAATAGCCAAGATACAGAAACAACCAAAGTGTCCATCAATGAATGAGTGAATAAAGGAGATATGATATGTCTCACACACACATACACGGTCTCAGTCATAAAAAAGATGAAAAATTACCATTTGTGACAACATGGATGGAGCTTGAGGATATTATGCTAAGTGAAATAAATCAGATGGAAAAAAACAAAACCTGTATGATTTCATTCATATGGAATATAAAACAAAAAAGTATGAAATTAATAAACATAACAAAAAAAAACCAAACCCATAGATATAGACAACAGAAAGGTGGTAATCAGAGGGAAAGGAAAGTGGGAAGATGCAATGGGTAAAGAGGTCAAATATATAGTAATGGAGAGATACTAGACTTTTGTGATGAGCAGGAAATAGAGTATAGAGAAACAAATTATAATGTTGTATACCTGAAATTTGCTATTTAAGCAATGGTACCTTAATAAAAAAATTAATTTTAGAATGTTTAGCTTTGTTAAAAAAATATAACTCTTAAGAGGTCTTTATCCTTGCCTAAGAGCACAGATGGTTACATAAGAAGTCAGCATTCTCTACTTTTCAAACATAAATCTTTACTTTTAAGTGCAATAAAAAGCCTAAGAGCATTTGGAGAAAACCTCTACTAATTTCTCGTGAACTTTACAACTGAACCTCACTCTGTGGCGGTCCTTTTAGACTGCATCAATATGGTTTGTTAGAATGAAACCATTTTTAGAACATCTTTTATAAAAATCTACAGCTTGGCATGAAAGAGAAAAGTAAGTGTGTGTAATTCATTTCTCAGAGAACACAGCATATATCTTTAATAAACTTTATGCTCAGGAAGGAAGTAATGAATTTGAAATTATCAATAGGTTGTGATGGAATTATTAGATTCAATTCCTTTAAGGAAACAGAAAGCCCTTTTAGGACAGAGATAGAAGAAGCATCACAATTATCTACCCATTTTTTAAAAAAATATATTTTATTGATTTTTTTACAGAGAGGAAGGGAGAGGAATAGAGAGA